TCGAGATATGATATTTTGTTGTACGATGTAATCCATACGAGTATGATCACTAAGATCAAGCCTTTAGCTGAGTGACCAAAGATAACAGATAACTTGAGATCTATCTTAAATATTATCCGAAGATAATTCAGCGACATAAACTCTTTATAACTTGCTTGTAAGCAGGTTCCGAAGGTATTTATCATATGATGAATGTACCTACAATATAAATAACAATTAAATCAAATCAATTATAATAACTGTTTAATTAATAGCGATGAAAGTTTTTCTTCCATGTTTTTTCCTAAGCTAAATAAACGAACACACAATCTATGACTACTACTAATAGATAACGAACTTGAGTTTTATTCAAAGGCGCCTCTTTTGCCCATTCGAATAGTTTGTTATAAACGTCGCCATCATATCTACCGAGAACAGATAGTAGCGTCTGATCCGGTATATCGAATGCGTCAACTAAACAAACTGCGACCGGTCGAATTTCACTAAATAGTTCTAATATTTTTACTCGAATGAGTTTGATTTGTTCAAAATCGATGAAGTTGTCCTGATAAAATACATGTTATAATTTCAATTAGTGCTCGCTTAGTTTTAACTTGCGACGATTAATAAAGTACAATGATACGATCTTTATCGCCAACGATAATTATGTATATTATGTTTGTGTTAATAGTAAATTTATTTAGAATACTTACAAGCATAAAATCGCCAGTATTTTGATCTATGCCATGTAAAGCTAGCAGAATAGATAGTCTATGTAACTGTAGATGACAAGATTGTCCCAAGCGCGATTTCTCAATCATATTAAAAAATGTCTTTATTACGAAATAGTGAGTAAATGCCTGTAGAACGAGCAGAAAATAGTATAGACTTAGTATTTAAAAATAGTGAAGAAAAAACTTAAAGCCGAGATTAACTAAAATATTTTAAACAGTTGTAAGTACCTTTGCGCAATCCACTAATTTAATTCCAGATTTATTCCAAGCATCGTAACTAGTATCGCCACCAGATTGTAATTCGCGAAGGTATTTATCAGCAATAGCTACTTTTCTGTCAAAGATTGCAGAGTTAATGATATAATAGAGCTAGTTACGGTATTTGTGTCGATTACTTACTTATATGCTCTAGCTCTATAAGCTTCTAGTACTGTATTCGTCTTCTCTAGATCTTGCATATTCTTAATATCCCAATGTTTACATGGTGGATTATGTAAGACTGCTGATACACCTAAAGGTGCAGACTTTGGATTCTTGACACAACGAAGTAAATATCTAAAAAATTGTTAATTTAATGTATTCTCTTACTTTTATAAATGTCTTTCTTAGTCTATTTAATTTACAAACTTACTTAGCTGACTGAAGGTACATAACAGTGTTTTCGCCTTCGTATGTGCAAGTCGCTAACCAATTATTATAAATATGACCTATACCGCAGGCCGATGAATAACCATGCCCGCCGCAAGCTCGTCTACACTCCTAAATGTAGTAGTACGAAATAGCGAGATTCGTAAATAAAAAGAATTAGAATTGGGCTACTCGAAG